TCTCTCTCTCTCTCTCTCTCTCTGTAGTCCATGGATCAGTTGCAAGCTGTACAAGTGTCATCTCACATTCTCTCTATCCCCCCCGGCTCTCTCTGTAGAATGTCGTCTCTATGTGTGAACAGAAAGCGAGAATTCATGATGGACGTGGTTTGTCGAAGATTATGGACATTTGGGTCGAGGTCCACAAGAGGTGGTTTTACTCGGGTGACTCAGATGGAGCAAAGCAGGTAGTGAAATGGCGGTGGTGATTCATAATCCTTCTGTCAGATGTGCGTTCGTGCTTTTACATTTGTGAATTGCAGGATGGACCAGGTGGCAGGTCTGCGTTGATCTCTGGAATAGCTTTGTGCTCGTGCGAAAGGAAATCACAGCCGAAGATGCCAGTTCAACCACGAGTACCTTTCCTCTCTTGAAAAACAATTATGTGGCTCATTTATGGCCGCATTTTTTGGGCGTTTGGGTACCGGACCGAAATGGCTGGCGGCACCAGCCAAAAGCAGGCCCTTGTCGGCCTCCTTTATTTTTTTGGCGCGCAGGGCAATTTTGGCTCAGCATCAATAGCTGGGTGGGGTACTCGTGGCTTATTCTTTGGAAATATTTAAAGAAAAAACAAAAGAAGTATGTCGTCGATGTGAATGTGAGAGAGGCGATTGTTGCAAAAGAAAAGGAGAAAGAAAACAATGTCCTGTTGAAACACAGTAGATGCCGATCAACGTACTTTTAGGGCATCAGACCCCACCGCGCACGCACGGCCTCGAACGGGCACCGTCTCAGCCACAGGAACAAAGTTGCCTAACCACTACAACCCTTGGAGGTGTTATAAAAACTGGACCCATACCGGTCGTGATATCCAGCCCACCCCCAGGGCTTGATCGTTCTCGAATTCACAGCACACACACAACACCACGCCACTGACACGGCAATCAAATGCGAACTCCGCTTGCACAGCACGCGACCCGCCACCGCTACTTAACCTGGTCACTCCAAGGCGGGCCAACTTCCTGTGGGTTCGACTGGCGCCTTCACAGCGCTCGCACATCACGCGACCCACCACCGCTACTTAACCCGGTCACTCCAGGGCGGGCCAACTTCCTGCGGGTTCGACGGGCGCCTTCACAGTAGATACTGATCAACGTGCTTTAAGGGCGTCAGGGCCCCTGCCGCGCACGCACGGCCTTGAACGGGCACAGTCAGCCACAGGAACGAAGTCCCCTAACCACTGGACCTGAGTTCAAATCCCCAAAAGGAAAGAAAAGGACAAGACAATGTTGGAAGATATGTCAGACAAAACGAAAAACGGCCTCACAGTGGCCCTGCTTATCACAATGATGCAGAGAGGTTATCGGTGATATCTAATAGATTCTCTCAATCTTCTTCGGTGGAGGCCGGATGGAAACAGATGGTGAAGTGACCAGGTTGGTGCTATCAGGGACGAAATCCCACTAACCAGGGTGGTTGACTTCCAAGCATGAACTTCAAAGATCGTGGGTTGGGAAAAAAACATCCGACGGAAATGGAACTCTGGCAAGGGGATCTACCCTTTAGCAGCAGGACAAGCGACATGTTTCTGCCACTTAGCTTTGTGTGATGAGAAGAAAGCCATTTCTAACTGTCAACGCCTGATGGAATTGGAGGACTGCCCTGGTATAGAAAGGACTATGTATTCTTTTGCCCAATACGACATGCGGTGCTGAGGGGACGCCAACATGCCCAAACCTGCACTCTTTTTTTTTTTTAATTATATAACTTTTGTAAGCCCAACCAATTCCATTAACTGTTGAATCCGGATAGGACGGCCTTTCAGGCCTTTTTTATCGTCATTATAGTACTTCGGGGAACCCCGTAGCAGCCACGTCCGTGCTCAAGCTTCAACGAGAGAACATGTGGGAGCTGCACCCACCAGCAGGTGGGCGGTACCGGCCACGGGTCACAGCTGGTAGCATCAGGACCGAGCTTTTTTGATGGGCTAGTCACTGTTGCCTCCGGTCCCCTCCCCCTATGAACATGAGTAGTCTTTGCTCGATGCTACTCAGGGGGACCAATGGCCTATCGCTAGCTGGTGGGCGCCAAGCTTTCCCAGGAAGGTACATGAGGCGAATGGAGATTGAACATGCACTCTTGGTTGGTTAATAGGTGATGTGGGGAAAAACCCTGAATTTGGGGTCTTCCATCAATCATCTCTTGCATACAAGGGTCCACATTCCGGCATGACCGGTCCTTCGAGCGCAAGCGGAGGACCAACAACCTGAAAGAGGCCGTACTGGTAGGTAAGCAGTTTAAGGGACTGCTCTCATGCGTAAGTACCACTCCTGGTGGCACTTGGGAGGGACAGTCCTGCAATTTGCAAGAGGCAGCTTTGGTGATTTTTTCTGCTTCGAAGGATTTGCAGAGAAATCTGAAAATTTGAGAATCCGTAGCGTAGGACGGGGTCTTTCCAGGGAAAATATCAGGGAAGTTTTGAAAATGCATAAAGATCGCAAAATGATCGCCTTGCTGATTTGGAGCATTTTGCCACTCAGCCACGTGTAGGCCAACAGAGAAGGTACAGCTGATTTTTTGCGATCAGAGGAATATGTGAAAAAATTTTGAAATTTATTGCGATCTTTCCAGGAAAAATATTGAATAAATTAAGCAAAAAAAAACATTTCAACTGCGAAATAGCTTGCAGGGGTAATTTGACCAATTTCCATTCTTGCCATTCAGCCTCTTTCTCCCTCTCCCTCTTTTTGTTCGTCCCCCCACCCTCCTCTCTCTCTCTCTCTTTTTGACCAATTGACGGGTGGAAATCCGTGCTGGGACGATGAGAGGCTTGGAGGGACTAGAGGTTGTAGTTTTCAGTTGATGCCCTGACCATTGTCACACTCTTTGTGTTGTACCTTTTAGCGCCTCCACGGATGCGTTTTTGTGGCGCGGGATACAGATGCTTATCACGGCACAGGTGATGGTCGAGGGATCTTGTGTCTCCTCCTCCCCAGTACTGTTTCTTTTCCCTCAAATTTCAGAGTGAAAACACCTCAAATTTCAGAGTGAAAACATTGGTCTGACACACGGGGTTTCAACATTCTGCATATCCAAGTGTTTTTTTTTTTTTTTTTTTTTTTTTTTTTTAATAGAAAAAGAGGGTGGTGGCCTTGAGATACGGTCACTGAACTGGACCGGCCCTAGGTAATTCAAAATTGTAGTAGTTCACGCATCTGCTTCCGGTGCAGTTCAACCTCAGGTCTGCATGTCCAAGTCATAATGTGTCTGGATGGTTATGTTGGCTTGTGTAATTTCTTCTTGCATGGGCACAGACGACCAGATACGTTCTGACAGGGGGCATGAGTTATGTCGGTGCGAACTTGAAGATCAAACAGGACGTGCCTTTTGCGCGGGCACCACAGCTGCCATACCAGTACGCCGTAGGGCTGGGGTTGTGACCTTGGCTTTCCTGAAAACTGACAGAGTTCTGGATTTTTTGACTGTCCTGAAACCAACAGAATTCTGGTTTTGTATCAAGTGAGGGTTGCCTTTCCCCCCATTTCCTAAACCGCCACTCCCCCTACTCCCCCTACTCCCCCTACTCCCCCGAACGTGATTTTATTCGGGGGACCAGTAGCAATGTTTCCGCAGGCCTACTGGTAGCGCCGTTTTGGCAGAACTGAAAGAAAAAAGCCTGCGATAAGTTATTTCCTTGTTGTAAGATTTTATTTTTCAGATTTTATTTTTCATATATATATATATATATTTTTATTATTCTTCTCTCAACTTCTGTTTCTTTTACCTTCCACTACGTACTCCTAAGACTATCTAGAGGGGACCCCTGCAAGCATAGTTTCCTCTCTCTGTGAAGGGGAGATTTCATGTTGCCCCTTGCCCCTAATGGTTAGGGTATAGGGTTGGGGCCGCCAGTGGGGGTCTGGCTAACACAAAGACCGAGACCTGCCAGTAGCTGTGCCTCCCTTTCTCATCGTCCCCCACCCTTCATCGAGTAGCAGCAGAGGCTATGGCCAACACTCTCCCACACACCACACACAACCCACTCACACTCACACTCACACCCGTGTTGGTCATAGACCCCGCTAATACCGATCAGGGGTATCCAGAGGACTATCACAGTCCGTTGGCACTAAGTGTGCCGCAGGCGGCCATGGGGCTTGAACCCACAACCTCCTGAATGCCACTGGGATCAGTGGCACCTATGATCTATGCGCCCTTTTTTTTAATAGATTTTTTGGCACATGTTCTAAGCCTGCAGAATTGTTGGACTTGGGGTGCTGCCTTTTTTTTTTTTTGTAAATGCTAAAGGGCTCGTTAGACACTCCTAAAAGTTCCTGTTTTTAGGATTGTGTCTTGGTTGCACGCAATCCTAAATCGGACGCGGGAATCAAAAATGTGAAAACGGCGTTAGGACTCGTCCTAAAAGATTTTGGATTCCCCAGCCAAATCGTCCTAAATTTTCCAGTAGCCCCGGACCTACTGAAAAATTTAGGATTCCCGCGTTTCAAGGAGTCGTTGCGTCGCGAGAATGGCAGCGAAGACACGGAGGTGCTGGTCCAGGAGAGGTCCGTCGGGTCGGGGGGCGGACATTGGAGGTTTTCTGCCGGTCGACGATGGCAACGGCCCCCACCGGTAGCCGTTGGCCGGTGGGGTGGAGCGCGCAGGGCGAAGCGTGGCCAGGCGGGCGGTTGTTGCGGACCGTTGGCTTGGGTGCGGGCAACGGAGGAGTCTGCAGACGTGCGCACAACGACACACGGAGGCGGCGTGGGCGCCAACGGGCGCTTTTTGAATCGCAGGCGCCAACGTTTGTCGTCTTCGCTGCCGGTCGACGACATGTGAAGGTCCAGCGGCCTTGTCCGCGGGCATGCGAGGAGAAAGTTGAGCAGGATGTCACGTGCAAGGTCGCCTGTGGACGTCGAATTCATGGCAGATATGCAGAGGAGATTGCCTCAGCACTGCTGCTCCTCGTTGTGGTCGTCTTCCCCTTTGTCGTCTTCCTCCACGTGTGCTTGTCGTGCCGGTCGTGGAAGCAACGTAGCAAGCGCATTAGTAGTGGCGAGCGAACGCGGATTAGGCTCTAAATACCATCCAAGCAAATTAGAAAAGATTGGAAAGTCTTGCCAGAGAAGGTGATAGCTCTGTATATTTTGTCCAATGGTTTTCATTTCAAGAAGTAAGTAAAACGCGCGCCGTGTTTGAATTCTGTGGGGGACCACCCTCTAAGCCTAAGCATTTCTCAGTGACCCCTCAACGAAAGGCGCTGTACTTCAAGAGGAACGTCCCATGGCGGGCATGCAGGCACGCGCTGTTCTGCTTGCAGCTGAGGGCGGAAGAAGACCTGCGACGACGGAGCCTCACGGCGGTACGACCCGTCCATGTACAGCCATCTGCCGTCGTGGGAGACGTCGCTGCCTCCCTCGGACGAGGAGCCGGAGGGGGATGAACTTCCAACGTTTCCTCTCGGCAGCGGTTCGACGCAACTGTTGTCGCAGATGGTGCTCGCAGGCGGGTCGGCAAGCAACGGACGCGGCGAGCACACGACACTCCTGCAGGCTGCAGCAAGGCTTGGGAGGTGACGGCGACGGGGGAGTTGATCTCCGGTTCGGGTTGTGTTCTGGCGGCGCTAGGGAGTCGAGCCACACGTTCATCATTGACGCCGATCCTTCACCACGTGGCGTTCAACAATCTGGAAGTCAGCATACAGAGCAGTCCACACTTCGTGGCGGTGTGTCCGTTAGTGGTGTCGGGCCATCGGCAGCAGGTCGGCAGCATGGATCGAGTGCACCGTCCGCCGATCGATTGACAAGTACCTGCCCCGCACACAATGGAGTCGCAGTCGGGTTCCTGCACATCGGCGGTGCACGTCCTTCGATGTCCAAAAGCACAACGCCGACCCAACCCGACCTCAGGGACGACGGCACGTGCAGACCAGCGGTGCGTCCAGCACCCACTGTGGAGAACATCACACGAGGAGTGTCAAACATGCGAGCACACAGCGATGGCGGCGACGACGATGGTGGTGGCGGTGACGATGCCGACGAACGATTCAGAGAGGACGTGGAAGCAGGGGACGACGACGACGACATTCCTATTCGGCCTTTGGGGAAGACGGGTGGGAGGGGGAGAGGACGCAGCAGGGGTGCTGTTCATGGTCGATCCGTTGGCCGTGGGGGCAGAGGTGGCGTCAGCGACGACGGCGGGAAGTCTGTGACGTACTGGTCCTCGGAAGAGCAAATGCAACTGGTGAGATGCAAGCGGGAGCGAGAGATGCACCTCGCCGGTCTGGGTCACAATTACGGGCGGATGCGGACCAAGGAGTGGAAGTGGGACGACATTGCCAAGCGCATGGCGAACGCGGGGAGGCCTAAGGACGCGAAGGACTGCATGAAGAAGTGGGACAATATCTTCCAAAACCACAAGAAGATACATAGGTTTCAGAATGCGAGTGGCCGGCCAGATTTCTTCCGGCTATCGAATGAAGAAAGGAAGGAGCACAACTTCAAGTTTCGGATGGAGAGGGCGTTGTACAACGAGATCCACACAGGCATGGTGGGCAACCACACAGTTTTCCCTCCCAACATCGCCGACACCGGAAGTCCGGACGGGGTGCAGCTGCCCAGGCGAGGAGCGGGTGCTGGGGAGTCTGTTGGTAGTGAGGGCGCTGGTGAAGGCTTCCCTGAAGAACGTTCTACTACGAGGGACTCCGACAACAAGCAGCCAGCGGGGCTGGAGGCGGGAAGCGGAAGAATGCGCATCAACAAGCGTTGGAGTCGATTGATGATGTCATGGACCGCCATGGCGAACTGATGTCGTCGACGATCGAATCGTCTAGCAAGCGGCAATGCAGCATATTCGCGAGGCAATGCGACATACTGGAGCAGGAAGTTGCAGTCCAGAAAGCGCACTACGCGGCATCCGATGAGACGCAGAGGATGATGTACCACACACTTATGGAGATCGTTGTCGCCATCCGTGGTCGGTCGGCGATGTAGGGCGCATGGTGTGTGTGTGTGTGTGTGTGTGTGTGTGTGTGTGTGTGTGTGAGTGTGTGTGTGAGTGTGTGCGGGTGTCGTCCACACAGTTGTATGGGTACTGTTTTTTTTTTTTT